AGAGGGAGAAGCAGGCCTCCTGCAGAGCAGGGAGCCCGATGAGGGGCTCGATCCCAGGACCCTGGGATCATGACCTGAGCCGAAGGCAGACGCCTAACGACTGAGCCACCCAGGCGCCCCGAACTCTGGAGATCTTTTATAAAATGTTTGTATTTTCATAGTGTGTCTGGGTAATGTATAGTACATCAAATACATAATTTGGTAATCCTTTTTTTCTTTCCACTTCCCTTTTTAGGGTTAGCAATTATGTCTGTCATAAAAAATAAACCTTTAGAAACCAAGTTTTTAAAGGCCATGAGATAGAACATAGCATGCATCTGGCATTTTCTTAAAAAAAAAAGAGAAAAAAAATTAAACTTCTTTCCCTCATGACATTAGGCCCCTTGTCAATTTTGCACCAGAATGTTGTGAGCTTGGGCTGTGGGTTTGGGTAAAAACTGTGTGAGAGAGAAACCACCTGAGCCATGTGACTGACACCATGGCCTAACACAGGCGTCTTAACCACTGAGCTTTGGCATCCTCACCTAAACCTGGGGGTGACAATGGTGCTGACCTCCCAGCACCACTAGGGGACGAACAGACTATGTACACAAAGGGACAGCATAATATCTGGCATACTGAGCTTGATAAAAATGATTAAGAATGCAGAACAATATCCCTGGCACATAAATCTCTGGTCATATTATCAATTAATTCTTTTGGATTAATTCCTAGAAGTATAATAAATAGCTCAGAGTATATGACCACTTAAAAGGTCATTATATTCTATCAAACAATTTTCCAAAAAATGTGAACCTATGTGTATTAGAGAAGGAGCTCACCTTTTGGGTCGAGGAAGGCCCATGGGGGTAAGATTAGGGTCTGGCTTAGGAATGGTTTTCCGGATACGAATCTGTGAGACTTTCTTTGGCCTCTTCTCTGGCTCAGCCTATTTTTAAAGATTAAGAAGAAAGATGGTCAAGTTAGAAGACATTTTAAATACATAAAGTCCTTTTTCTTGACACTCTAAGATTTTGCTTCCTCAGTTTACAGTTGACTCTAACTCATAGTTTATGACAAAGCTCTACTTACTCCTGCTGACAGTGTTCTCAGCAACCACTCCCTTTATATTGTTAGAAGAGAATCTACACATTCAGCTCAGATATTGAGATAAGCAATATGAAAGCCTGTTAACTGTTGGAGACAGAGAGAGACTGCAAAATGAAGAATACCATTGTTCACTCATCTTTGAATGCAAGCAGCTCTTTGGTCCAACTCTCTAAATACTGTTAAATGCTACTGTCAAGAAAAAAGTTTCTGGAAAACAATGCAGACTAAGAGATCCAGAGTAGCCTTCAGTGGCCAAGCAGAAAAACTCCTGCCCTGGTAATTTCCAGCAATCAGCTGAAGGTAACAGTGATAAGCAAAGACACGCAGGGGCCTGTGTGTACCCATCATGTGATCTTTGGTCCTCGATGGACACTTCCAGTATTGCCCTCGACTCTATCAGCACTTTACCTCTTTCTGTTCTGGAGGGCTGCTCTGTGGATGGGGGCATGCCGCTGCCACAGTATCCAGCTCATCAAATTCAGGGACTTGGAACTCGGAGGCTGAAAGCAAGAGCTTGCTGACAGCTGAGTCTGTTACCAAGCAAGACTTTGGTACCAAGGCAGGGAATGGAGGCTCTAGTCTAGCACCATGAAAAGAAAAACAGAGAAGGAAAATATGAGACGGGTTTCACTTTCTCCCTTGGCACATTCAACTTCTTAACAACATACTAAGGTTGAAGATCTTCCCTTTTTCCAGCAATGACGTTTCCAGCCAACCTGTTCTCTAGTTATTTCTGGACACAGCCTGTGTCTATATATTTAAAAAATTAAAAGGATGTGGTCCATCCATTTCATTGGTGTAGAGAAGTTTTATAAGGAAAAATGTAAAAAGGAAGAGACTTTTTGGAGGAAAAAGGCATTTAGTGAACTGAACAAATGAACTGTGCTCAATGAGATCGATCCCATCAAGGCAATGAAGCTGGCTCTATGACCAAGAGATAGCTTGAGAGGGAACTTGTGGTACAAAGAGCTGGCTAGTGATTTTGACTCTTTTTCAATAAATGGTACTGATTACACATCCTTAGTCACTACTTATGATAAAACGCATCTAAATCTCGGATCAGGTTTGGAAGGAAAACAGACGTCAGAATCATGCTATGCTCAACCCACACCATCTGCTAGCGCGCCCTCTCAGGTTCTGTGTTCACTTGCACATTCACTCTTCCTCTCTGTCTCTGTCTTTCTCTCTCTCTCTCTCTCTCTCTCTCTCACACACACACACACACACACACACACACACACACACACACACACTGCAAGCCACAAGCCCTTATGTAGCAGGCGCTGCTGGAGGCTTACCTCATCTGACTGCCACTGGTATTATAAGTAGCTTCCATGCCTGGAAGAGGCACATACGGTAACATGGTGTGGCTGAAGTGAAGCAAAAGTACAAAAGCAACAGGTTAGGGCAGTGGAACAACAGGGAAGTTTTGATGCCACTGTGGGTACTCAAAGGTTTTGATGCTACTGATGGCACATGATATTATTCAATGGGGCCCTAGGAAGACAAGAAATGTCAGTCACTCAGAAAGAAGAAAAAGCCCCCCAGTCCTGAGCATTACATTTATGTGCCCACCACTGGAGTGGAGGCAGGCTGACGGAAGATTATTTTCTAACTTATATGGAAAGAAGGTAGAGAAAGGAATAAAGAGAGGACAGTAAGAGAAAGGAGGGGAACAAGAATGGCTTTGAGTCTTACAGCTTCTTTTGTTGAATATATATCTTAAAGATTTCAAAATATAATTCACAGATAAAAAAATCTTGTATTATTTTTTTTTAAGATTTTATTTATTTATTTGACAGAGAGACACAGTGCGAGAGAGGGAACACAAGCAGGGGGAGTGGGAGAGGGAGAAGCAGG